ATTGATCATATCCTTGCTTTTTGCCACAAGATATTCCAAGCTGATCTTACACTGTCCTTTCCTCACCCCTGGAATCAGTCATTTCTCCAAGCAGCTCTGACTCCTTTTAGGTGGAAAGTGGTACTTAGAAGCCAAGCTGGAGGTGTTGAGTGTGCTCATTTCTGTTAAGGTGTCACTCCTCCCATGTCTTCTCAGTGAACAGAGGTAGGGCGTGTGTGTGTGTGTGTGTTTGTGTGTGTGTGTGTGCGCACGCACGCACTCATGGGCACTGAAAACCACAAGTTCATGTTGATGCATGCAATTCCAGCATGACATCAGAGTATTCGTTCTAATTTTCTTCCTTTCCATATTTTTATCCCTTCTCAGATGGTGAAAAACTTGACTCTTACTGTCCTTAGTATGTTTGCTTACTTGATTAATCCTCTGATACGTAACCATTGCCCACACTACCCCCAACCCCCACACAGTCGGCTTCCTCCTCATATTCTGGCTCTGCTACTGACACCCTGCAACAGGCTTGCCCCTATTGGATGGGCACCATCCACCCTGGGTGGCTGCCCTTTTTGACCTGCACTTACTGAGTGCCAGGCCACCCCTCCATAGAGACACCCTCGGCAGACTGTTCCTCCAGGTGCATGCCCTCCTTGTCCTACCCAGAATGTCTACTCTGTTATCACCTGCCAGGCTCTTCCAGGCTTGGGGGCCCCCCCTCACACCATGTGGGTTCTGATTCTCCATGCCAGGCAGACCTTTTCTATGCATGTTCTCTTCACCCTGTTTGGCCTTCAACTTCCCGTTCTGGGCTTCCTCACCTACTCCCCATCCTGCGGCATGGAGGATTACCTTGTTCTGATGTTTTTAGTGCCAAATTGTACAGGAGGGAGAGGAAGGAAAGGGAAGTGGAGGAAGGACAAGAAGAAGACGTACATGTATTGTTTTCCAGTCAGCACACGGGCTTTCAAAATGAGCAGTGTTATTCCTCATTTCACACCTGAGGAAACTGTGGCTCAGACAGGTTAAGTCACTTGCCTGTGGTCTCATAGCCAGTATGTAAGGGGGCAGCATCCGAACCCAGGCCCTGAACTCTAGAGCCAAATTCTGTCTACTCCACACTGCCTCTAAAGACTTTGGTCTTTAAAATCTGTTTGGTCTTAGGGTGCCTGGGTGGCTCAGTTGGTTGAGCATCTGACTCTTGATTTCAGCTCATGTCATAATCTCAGGGTCCTGGGATCGAGCCCCAAGTCAGGCTTCCCATTTGGCAGAAGTCTGCTTGTCTCCCTCTCCCTTTGTCCCTCCCCCAGCTTGCTCTCTCTCTCTAAAGTAAATAAACCTTTTTTAAAAAGAAATAAAATATGTTTGGTCTTTGGATTGTTCCCAAATATACAATAATTGTGTTTGGAGAAAAGGAATGCAGTTCTCTTGAGAAGCAATAGGTTTGTTCATTTTAAGAATAGTTTTTCTACCACTTGGCCCACTTCCGTACCTTTCTTTTGTCTGCAAAGAGGCTCAACAGGAGCATGGCTTTATTTGGCTCAGTTGCTCACGTCGGGTAGTGAGGCTGGGGTTTCTGGTGGCCAGGGGCACTCAACCAGCAGCCTTATTACCTACCAGGTGGTGGTTTCTGCCTTCTGTGGCTGGCACTTTTTAAATGAGTCATCTTTACATCCTTGCCAGTCTTATCCTCTCCCCCAGCCAGCTCTACCCCTGCTGCCACAAGAGAGCTTTGTGATAAAATGGGGAAGTAGATGCTAAATCTGGAATGAGGAAGGGGAGAGACGTTTGCTCTGGTTTCAAACACACAACCATGGAAGACATCAGTCTTAATGCTTTCCATCCCCCAAATGCTGAGGGCTGGTGCATATATGGAGTTAGAATATATATATATATACACATATATATGTACATATATATACATATATGTGAAATGAAATGTGAAATGAACTTGTAATACTATTCGGTGACTCATTTTTTTAATGCCCATTTCTCAGTGTCTTTGGGGTTCTTTGAAATGTGTCTTTGAAATAACTCCAGAAAACGTTCTAACACAATGGAAGACCAAAAAAGAAAGAAAGCACCTATTTGCATAAAATAGCAAAAGGGCAATAGCCAAATAAATTTGACTTCTTCCAGATTTAAGCATCTTCGGAAGAAAATTGATTTGAATGTTTCCAGATACAGTGTATGAACTTTTTCTCATAAAACCTTAAAGCTGGGCAAATATCCTAGAATTTACCGCATGTTTATGCGTCACCAATGAAGAAACAGAGGCACTGAGGGAAGTGATTGAAGATGATGGGGGCAGGTGCCCGGCTGTAAGGCTGTAATTGTGTGTGCGCGTGCACTGTTCACTTGTCAGTAAACACTCAGAAATGGGTATACTTTATGAGACAAGAAATAAAGCTAAGGCAGATATGGTTCTTGTTGCCAAGGCACACAAGGTCTTAAGTTAGGCTGCTTCCTGAGTTTTATTTCTGTGGCCTGAGCAGGTGGCCTTGTGAGGAGACATGTGACATTGAACCTTTAGCAGCAATACCCTTTGGAGTGTACAAGTCCCAAGAAAGGCAAAGGGCAGATGCCAAAGTGTGAAATTTGTGTTTTAATTTGTTTGCATTCGATTTTAGAATTACTTAATTAATTAATTTTAGAGAGGGGAGGGGCAGAGGAATGGGGGAAGAGAATCAAGCAGGCTCCATGTCCACGCCCAGCGTGGAGCCTGATGTGGGGCTTGATCTCACAACCTCGAGATCATGACCTGAGCCGAAATCAAGAGTTGGATGCTTAACCAACGGAGCCACCCAGGTGCCCCTAGAATTAATTTATATTAATTAATTCCTTTGGGAATTTTCCCCCTTAAAATTGGATTCTTCAGGAAAAACAATCACAGATTCGGTATATTGTAATTAACGACAGTAATCTTGGGACACAACTCACTATTTACCGCTATTTCAAGTTGGGTCCTTTTTCCCCAGGACATAATATCACATATAGCTTTTTCTTTGAACCCTCAGAGAGAGTCCAAAAGCTATTTTATGTACTAGAAAAGCTACCCATCCAGCACACACATGCATGTTGCTGGGGAAGTTTATATTGATGAAAATCACTTTTAAAAAGCTAACAGGTTAAAAAAAAAGAAGCTAACAGATTTATGAAATCCTATGTGAGGCTCTCTCTCTCAAAGATCTCTGTTCATAGAAAATAAATATTATAATAGCAAATAAATTTTGCTCACACATGTATCTGCTCTTCTTAAGACTGCCATTAGCACACTTAGAGCAACTGGAACCAACATAATTTTCTCAAATATTTTAAGTAGTTATTACTTCTGGGAAATTGTTTGAAGGGGTCCCCCCAAAATACTTCTTTGCTAATTGATGTTTATGAACAATATGATATTTTAAATTTCATTTATTTTGTTGGTGTTTTAGGAATTCCAAGCCCGAGGTTATTCTGCGTATTTCTCTTGAAATCTTTTCTAAATGTTTACTCTTATTTCCTTATTCAGAGTGTACCTTACTCATTTACTTATTTTTTTCAGTTCCCCAATTTGGCCTGCTGTTCACCCAGCCCCGGGAATACAGGTTTGGGGTCAGGGCAGTACAAGTAGCCAAGAGACGCTGAAGATGACGATTTATAGCAGACGTTGACTTGAATTAGTCACCAAGCCCATCTTGTCCCTCTTCGGGGGCTATTTCTTGTCTCCTTTTCCTCAAATTGCTTGTCTTGAGAGCACAATAAAATCTAAGGACAGAGCTTTTTTCTCCCTGTAGACAACACTGGGACAGCTCCTTTTTTTTTTTTTCTTTAATTAACTTAATCAACTATAATTTATTGAATACCGAGTCTGTGCATAACCCAACACTTCACCCTCCCCAAGAGTTATAAACGTGGATCATTGCTGGTAGCTCTCCCACGTCTCCTGCTTTATCTGCCTGCCATTTGATCTGCCTAATAAATCCTCACTCATTTCATATCCTTTTACCCACTTGCTCGGGGGTTTTTCTAATAGTGTGAGAAATCAAACCAAAAAGGCGGGTGGTTGTGCGGTTGACTTTGCAGCCTGTTTTCCAAGAAGACTTTGAGTCATAAAAACGGGGAATAGGCCCGTTGGTTTCTTGGGGCGCCTGGGTGGCTCAGATGGTTAAGCGTCTGCCTTCAGCTCAGGTCATGATCCCACGGTCCTGGGATCGAGCCCCATCCCTGCGCCTCGGGAGGCCTGCTTCTCCCCCTCCCTCTGCCACTCCCCTTGCTTGTGTTCCCTCTCTCGCTGTGTCTCTCTCTGTCAAATAAATAAATAAAATCTTAAAAAAAAAAAACCAAAATGGGGAATAGGCCCGTTGGTTTCTGCAGTTAGTACCTGACAGCCTCTATCTGTTGCCTTTTTCACGATGGTCTAATTTCTTTCTCCAGTGACAGGGCTGGCCATTATATTTTAAACCCTTTTCATAGCTACACAGTTTTGAAATCCAATTTTAGTGGCGTGCACGGAGTGGAGATTGAGACTGTTAGCAGAGATTTTTGGCCTGCCCATCACTTATTTCTATTTTTTCTTAACCATGTCCTGCCTTTCTAATTCATTGTGAAGATCACTGATGGGGACATTCAACGTTTTCCTCTATTTTTATCTTCAAATGATCTTTATTTGCAGCTCTGCCCATTGCTAGATTTATTCCAGCCTCTTAACACTAGGGTCATAGTTTTTAGTGTCAGCTTGGAGCCAAATGCCCCGCAGCTGAAATGACCACACCTCCGAAGTGGCATTTTCCCAGACGGGTCCTGCCTTTAATAATGAGCCAGCCAGGAGGCAAGTCTGTATCTGATTACAGCAGACTCTTGTATTAGGCCTGGTGCATAATTAGATGTGAGGAATTACAATCGGTCCTCTCTTTGCAAGATCTTTCAGCGCTATGTCTACTCTCAGCCATTACTTTTATTTTTAACCTAATGCGTTTGTACCTCTCTCTCTTTCTCTCTCTCCAAATTACGTATAACAACAAAAAAAGAAACCAAGGAAGTTCGGAGATTTGCGGCTTTAAAAAGACTGGATCCCGAAGAGATTTTCACAAGACGCTCCAGAAACAGACATTTGAGTCAGAGTCCTTGGAGGGCCATGAACCAAGCACACAGGTATTTTCTATCAACAAACATGGTTACCAGGTTACTGGGCTGTTCTGCCCAGGGCATGTTGTTGGCGTTTTAACTAGAGAAAGGGCTAGACTCAGAGAATGTCAGAGTAGGAGGAACGCTACCGTCTGACTCAGTGGGGTTTTTTTTTGTTTTTTTTAAATCTGTTTGTACCTACAGAAATTGGTGTTCAAATGAGAACCCACAAGTTCAATAATGAAAATAGGTAGAATCGGAGGGGGGGCCCTCTCCCCATAACAGTTCCTGAGGAGACCCAGTGGTACCTCTAAGGCAGGCTGTGGAGTGAGTGAAAATCCACACTGAGGCCAGGCTGCCCAGATTCTCTTCGTGATTTTGCTACATACTAACTCTGTCGCCCCAGGCAGGATCATTAACCTCTCCAGGCTTCCTCCCCTGGAAAACAAGGGTGATAATAAAGCCATCTCATTTTATTATAACTTTTCTTTTACTTCCTTGTTCTGTTAATTTTTTTTGAGTTCGTTTTAAAAATATATGTATATAAGTAAGTTATATCATCCGTACATGACATTTCAGGATGGGAAAGGAGAAATTAGGAAATATTTACATTAAAAAGGAGTGTTGGCGGGGCGCCTGGGTGGCTCATTTGGTTAAGCGACTGCCTTCGGCTCAGGTCATGATCCTGGAGTCTCTGGATCAAGTCCCGCATCGGGCTCCCTGCTCGGCGGGGAGTCTGCTTCTCCCTCTGACCCTCCCCCCTCTCATGTGCTCTCTCTCATTCTCTCTGTCTCAAATA